CTTCCTTGTATTAGGGAGAGAAGGTAGTTTTTGTGCATGCAAACGATGTTGGTTTGAATCCCATTCACACCTCTAACATCTCCAGAGCATCCAAAAAGTTCAAATTAGATTTTCATAATACAAGTCTACAGTGTTTGAGCACATACAGTGTGGTGCATGTGTTTTACATATACCTTATGTGTCATTATATTGATACTTCTGTAGTAACACACACAGAGTTGATGATCTCTATTATTATTTTGTGCTAAATGCTGAGGCTGTCAGAGGTCACACAGCACCAAAGGAAATTATTCTAATTTTGTCATGTCATAAGACAACGCATGAAAATAGTAAAACATTTCACCAAATCATTGCTGAATTGTGAAACAGGCCACAGTCAGTGAAATTTCTATAGAGCTACATAGGTACTGTGTTTATATTCACTGATCTCAAATCAATAACCCCTCTTACCAAAGTTAATGTGATGTGACTTTATGACTTTTTGGAGCTAGTGTAAAACGGATATTTACAATAGTGATGGCCTTCACATATATAGAAATTCACATATCTGAAAACTTGGAATGGAAAGGCGTCTACTTTACGCAATATAGCTGCAGATGGTTCCAGAGCATATGGCTCTTCACTATAGCCAAACTAGGGCAGAAAATGATGAATGTTAACTGCTTGATAGGTCCTATTCACAGAAAGATAGCTGCACACAAACCTAAGCGATTTCCAGCAACGCCGAAGCAAAAAATTTTATAAGATTGGCAGGTATTTTATGTGCTTGGATGCTAAGAACAAGTCAGAACATAAACAGAAAAAAAAGTGGTTACATATATGCTTTAATATTTATCTATTATCTCCAAACAGTATTTACTAATATTATCTGTAGCCCCACATATTAATAGGCATACAATAATATACTGTATTATATAACTAATGACGTGCCCCATGGAAATTATGAAGGTTACTCTTGTAGCTAGTTAGCATGCTAACAATTGCAGCTTGCATCAGAGCAGATAAACCAACAGCTTTTGCTATTTTGGTGTTGGAAAGGTTTTACCAAGTACAGAAATCCAAAGTTTAACAGGGCTGCAGTAATCATGTTTGCTAAGCTGTGGCTGGACAATCACTGAGGGATGGAGTATTGTGAGTGTGTTCATTCATATGCTTACATATTTTGTGACAAATAACCTTTTTGGCATCACTACACTAAGGGTCCAGTTTAGCCATGCACTCTTTGTTTGTTATTAATTAATCTTCAGTCCCTTCCATTTTAGAATCCGGCTACAGCCTTTCAGCCTTTACTGACCTTTCAGAAATAAGGGTTCAGTATCTTTCTCTCTTATAGTTCTCATGGAACAGGAATGAAGGTACTTAAAGTCCCCAAAAGGAAATATTTTTTATCTTGTGGGCACAAGTTATTATCTTGTGCACACAAGTTACTTATCTTGTGGGCACAAGTTATTATCTTGTGCGCACAAGTTTTTTATCTTATGGCTTTATAGGCATATGTTTACTGATTTCTCCACTATGTTTGAAA